CCGGACCAAAAGAAAAAGTGTACACTTTCCAGTCCTAGACACTGGTAACTCTCCAGCCCTAGACACTAGTAAGTACTCTCCAGCCCCGGACCAAAAGAACAAGTATACACTTTCCAGTCCCGGACACTGGTAAGTACTCTCCAGCCCCGGACACTGGTAAGTACTCTCCAGTCCTAGACACTGGTAAGTACTCTCCAGCCCGCCCTAGACACTGGTAAGTACTCTCCAGTCCTAGACACTGGTAAGTACTCTCCAGCCCTAGACACTGGGAAGTACTCTCCAGCCCCGGACCAAAAGAAAAAGTGTACACTTTCCAGTCCTAGACACTGGTAACTCTCCAGCCCTAGACACTAGTAAGTACTCTCCAGCCCCGGACCAAAAGAACAAGTATACACTTTCCAGTCCCGGACACTGGTAAGTACTCTCCAGCCCTAGACACTGGTAAGAACTCTCCAGCCCTAGACACTGGCAAGTACTCTCCAGCCCCGGACCAAAAGAAAAAGTGTACACTTTCCAGTCCTAGACACTGGTAACTCTCCAGCCCTAGACACTAGTAAGTACTCTCCAGCCCCGGACCAAAAGAACAAGTATACACTTTCCAGTCCCGGACACTGGTAAGTACTCTCCAGCCCCGGACCAAAAGAAAAAGTGTACACTTTCCAGTCCTAGACACTGGTAACTCTCCAGTCCCAGACACTAGTAAGTACTCTCCAGCCCCGGACCAAAAGAAAAAGTAAACACTCTCCAGCCCAAGACACTGGTAAGTACTCTACAGCCCTTGACACTGGTAAGTACTCTCCAGTCCCGGACACTGGTAAGTTCTCTCCAGTCCCGGACACCGGTAAGTACTCTCCAGTCCTAGACACTGGTAAGTACTCTCCAGCCCCGGACCAAAAGAAAAAGTATACACTTTCCAGTCCTAGACACTGGTAACTCTCCAGTCCTAGACACTAGTAAGTACTCTCCAGCCCCGGACCAAAAGAAAAAGTATACACTTTCAAATCCTGGACACTGGTAAGTACTCTCCAGTCCCGGAATAATGTATACACTCTCCAGTCCCGGAAATGGTATACACTCTCCAGTCCCGGAAAAAGGTATACACTCTCCAGTCCCGGACACTGGTAAGTACTCTCCAGTCCGGGCACCGGTAAGTACTCTCCAGTCCCGGACACTGGTAAGTATTCTCCAGTCCCGGACAAAAGAATACACTCTCCAGTCCGGACACTTGTTAGTACTATCCGGTCCCAGACACTGGTACATCTTTATGTAATTACTCTCCACTCTCCAGTCCCGGAAAGAAAGTATTCACTCTCCAGTCCCGAACACTGGTAAGTACTCTCCAGTCCTGGACACTGGTAAGTACTCTCCAGTCCCGGACACTGGTAAGTACTCTCCACTCCCGGAAAAAAAATATACACTCTTCAGGCCCGGACACTGGTAAGTACTCTCCATTCCCGGAAAAAAATTATACACTCTCAAGTTCTGGACACTGGTAAGTACTATCCACTCCCGAAAAAAAGTATACACTCTCCAGCCCCGGACACTGGTAAGTACTCTCCAGTCCCCGACACGGGTAAGTACTCTCCACTCCCGGACAAAAGTATACACTCTCCAGTCCACAGGGGCGGGTCAGACCTTTTAGCCAACGGCACTAATCCTGTTGTACTCGTAATTATAAAGTCTTTTCCGTGTGTTGTGTATCGTATTATATATATAGGATTATGTGTTGGGGATCTCGCCCCTTTTCAATGTTGTGACCCAATGACAAAGTCCCCAGGTGTGGGGTTGGACCCAAGGTTTGATCGGAAGCATGGAACGTTTAAAGACTATGTTTTCACGCTTCATTTCTGAAAACATCGTATAAGACTTATAATGAAAAGGGGATTGATCAGGATTTATAGTGTTTATATGTTCACTGTCAACTGTATGAATCAAATTTGGTTTCAAAGGAAATATATTCAGCATCTTAGGACACACATGTGAAATCGTATCAGCCTATAAAATTTCATGAAAGATACAATATGCTTAAAATGAATAACATTGTAGCAAACAGTTGTTTCGTTTGTGAGGGCTCCTCGTTTATCGAGGCCAAAACATTGGTCTGTATTATTTTTTCAAAACGGAAAGGGAGGTTCATAAAACCCGATAATTGTTTGAATTTCAAAAAGAAGAAACGTACTGGTAAATTAGATGTGGATATCTGTTGTTTATTTTGTGTGGTAACCTGAAATGATCACCTACACAACAAACAATGATAAAGTGATGCACTACTTTCTGTACATCAAGGATGTGATAGGTATGATATAAAGGTAACAATACCAACAGGTGTCGTGTTTCAGTGTGTACATCAATGATGTGATAGGTATGCTATATGGGTAACAATACCAACAGGTGTCGTGTTTCAGTGTGTACAGCAATGATGTGATAGGTATGATATATAGGTAACAATACCAACAGGTGTCGTGTTTGTGTGTACAACAATGATGTGATAGGTATGATATATAGGTAACAATTCCAACAGGTGTCGTGTTTCAGTGTGTACATCAATGATGTGATGGGTATTATATATAGATAACAATACCAACAGGTGTCGTGTTTCAGTGTGTCCATCAATGATGTGATAGGTATGATGTATAGGTAACAATACCAGCAGGTGTCGTGTTTCAGTGTGTACAGCAGTGATGTGATAAGTTTGATATATAGGTAACAATACCAACAGGTGTCGCGTTTCAGTGTGTACAGCAATGATGTGATAGGTATGATATATAAGTAACAATACCAACAGGTGTCGTGTTTGTATGTACATCATTGATGTGATAGGTATGATATATAGGTAACAATACCAACAGGTGTCGTGTGTCAGTGTGTACAGCAATGATGTGATAGGTATGATACATAGGTAACAATACCAACAGGTGTCGTGTTTCAGTGTGTACAGCAGTGATGTGATAAGTTTGATATATAGGTAACAATACCAACAGGTGTCGTGTTTCAGTGTGTACAGCAATGATGTGATAGGTATGATATATAGGTAACAATACCAACAGGTGTCGTGTTTCAGTGTGTACAGCAATGATGTGATAGGTATGATATATAGGTAACAATACCAACAGGTGTCGTGTTTCAGTGTGTACAGCAATGATGTGATAGGTATGATATATAGGTAACAATACCAACAGGTGTCGTGTTTCAGTGTGTACAGCAATGATGTGATAGGTATGATATATAGGTAACAATACCAACAGGTGTCGTGTTTCAGTGTGTACAGCAATGATGTGATAGGTATGATATATAGGTAACAATACCAACAGGTGTCGTGTTTCAGTGTGTACAGCAATGATGTGATAGGTATGATATATAGGTAACAATACCAACAGGTGTCGTGTTTCAGTGTGTACAGCAATGATGTGATAGGTATGATATATAGGTAACAATACCAACAGGTGTCGTGTTTCAGTGTGTACAGCAATGATGTGATAGGTATGATATATAGGTAACAATACCAACAGGTGTCGTGTTTCAGTGTGTACAGCAATGATGTGATAGGTATGATATATAGGTAACAATACCAACAGGTGTCGTGTTTCAGTGTGTACAGCAATGATGTGATAGGTATGATATATAGGTAACAATACCAACAGGTGTCGTGTTTCAGTGTGTACAGCAATGATGTGATAGGTATGATATATAGGTAACAATACCAACAGGTGTCGTGTTTCAGTGTGTACAGCAATGATGTGATAGGTATGATATATAGGTAACAATACCAACAGGTGTCGTGTTTCAGTGTGTACAGCAATGATGTGATAGGTATGATATATAGGTAACAATACCAACAGGTGTCGTGTTTCAGTGTGTACAGCAATGATGTGATAGGTATGATATATAGGTAACAATACCAACAGGTGTCGTGTTTCAGTGTGTACAGCAATGATGTGATAGGTATGATATATAGGTAACAATACCAACAGGTGTCGTGTTTCAGTGTGTACAGCAATGATGTGATAGGTATGATATATAGGTAACAATACCAACAGGTGTCGTGTTTCAGTGTGTACAGCAATGATGTGATAGGTATGATATATAGGTAACAATACCAACAGGTGTCGTGTTTCAGTGTGTACAGCAATGATGTGATAGGTATGATATATAGGTAACAATACCAACAGGTGTCGTGTTTCAGTGTGTACAGCAATGATGTGATAGGTATGATATATAGGTAACAATACCAACAGGTGTCGTGTTTCAGTGTGTACAGCAATGATGTGATAGGTATGATATATAGGTAACAATACCAACAGGTGTCGTGTTTCAGTGTGTACAGCAATGATGTGATAGGTATGATATATAGGTAACAATACCAACAGGTGTCGTGTTTCAGTGTGTACAGCAATGATGTGATAGGTATGATATATAGGTAACAATACCAACAGGTGTCGTGTTTCAGTGTGTACAGCAATGATGTGATAGGTATGATATATAGGTAACAATACCAACAGGTGTCGTGTTTCAGTGTGTACAGCAATGATGTGATAGGTATGATATATAGGTAACAATACCAGCAGGTGTCGTGTGTCAGTGTGTACAGCAATGATGTGATAGGTATGATATATAGGTAACAATACCAACTGGTGTCGGGTTTCAGTGTGTACAGAAAGGTAGCTATAATGATGAGATATATAGGATACTATGTGTCATGTTTCAGTTACGATGGCGGTGATATATAGGTAACAATGCCAACAGGTGTCGGGCTTCAGTGTGTACAGTAATGTAGCTATAATGATGTGATATATAGGATACTATGTGTCATGTTTCAGTTACGATGGCGGTGATATATAGGTAACAATGCCAACAGGTGTCGTGTTTCAATGTGTACAGCAGTGATGTGATAGGCATGATATATAGGTAACAATACCAACAGGTGTCGGGTTTCAGTGTGTACAGTAAGGTAGCTATAATGATGTGATATATAGGATACTATGTGTCATGTTTCAGTTACGATGGCGGTGTTGGGAACTCTGTGCTACTTGGCGCTGGTCAGTCTAGTGTCTGTGACGTCAGTAGAAGCCGAGTGTCCACATGATAACGGTACCTTAACTAGATGGAGTGACCCCACTACGTGGCCTACAAACAAAGTAAGTAAACAACTCCCCAACCACCACCAACAACACCGAATAGGTTTTTTTCCTATTTTTGTTTGTTTTTGTTTTATTTACTCAGTGTTGGCTCATAAAGTTCATTTTTTGTCAGTGCCGTTTATCGGTAAAGCATATAAGGCCTGTTAAATTGATTTCAATTCAATACTTTATAAGCTATCTTTTTAAAATATCTTACCGAAGATATATAATATCGATTACTATTCTCTTTATTTCCTCCAATATGAAGATTACATAAACAGAATAGTTACCTATCAGAATCAATCAACATATATACATGGACATTGGAAAGCACACATGTGTCGTTATCATAATGTGTACAGAAATATTTCATAAGAGAAAGGAGACTGTAAATGGGCATAATTGCTTAAAGGTTTGTAGTATTTTTTTTAACATTTTATACACTTGTGTCATTATCCCTAACCTTAAATGTTCATTATAGACATCTTATAATTTAATTCGCTACCCAATAGGGTATTAGTCAAATCAAAATTTGGCAAATTATGCAAATAGACATTGAGTTGTATATCACATATACTAATTAAATGACACCATACTTTGTATTTTTTTTTAGGTGTATTATAAATAATAAGAAATGAGTATCATGACGTTCATGTCTTCTATCTTTTATGGTATATTTTATACATTATATCAGATATCTTAAAAGTATACAGTGGACTCTAGATATTTGTCTAACCGGCCAAATCAACGATAGTAGTTATACTCTGGCTTATCCAACTCTGTCTATTCTGTAAACAGGCCTTGTTACTTAGTTTTAACAATATTTATTGAAGAGTGAAGTAGTACAAACTATATAGACGTATACATAATATGCAAGAGGGTTTGGTACGTAACAAGCGGACAAGTCCTGTGCCTTCCTAGTCACATGGAAAGTGTTTTTACAAGTCAGTTGTTCTCATATCAGTGACGATGAATGATTAATTAACGAAAATACAAAACCTTGGTATATATTAACAAAATATATCATACACATATGTATTCTTAGTTCTAATTACATTCAGAAACTGTATTTAAGCAGACTCCCTACAATCCGGAACACTCTACAACCGGTAAAATGATATGGTCCCAGTGATGTCCGGTTTAGACAGAGTCCTATGCATATTTTTTTCAAATATAAGATATTGTATTTGATATAGAGGAAATCTTATATAATAATTAAGGATATCTTTTATAATATTATTAGATACATTATAAGCATTGCTCCTTAAATGAATGTTAAGTTGGTTTGCCATAAATGAGACATTTTGTTTGCAGCTCCCAGAGGCCAGCGCTACGGTTAGTATTACCGGTCACGTCCTTTTGGACGTGTCCCCTCCGGCCCTGTTCGGTATTGTTGTAGAGGCAGGCGCAATTCTCGTTTGGAGTCCGGAAGGAGATTTCCACGTGTCCACAAATTACATCCACGTGAAAGGCGCCTTCCACATTGGCTCCGAGACTTGTCCATTTGAGGAAAACGCTCGAATCACCCTGACGGGTACGTGTTTATTATGTTCTCTGCAGCAATAAAAAATAATAATAAAATATGCATAACACGCGACTTTATAATTTGTATAACGCCTACATTACACTAACATACAAAAGGGACATCCAATTCTTTATAAATACAAATTAAACCTGGTTTAATGTAATTTATGAATGTCCTAGTCATACTTTGTTTTTTATTATGTTTCAATATCATGAATTTTAAAGTACTGTATTTGTTGTATCTATGATTGATATGAGCGGACGCTGACCATTAGAAGGAGGTGAGAAGGTCAAAAGTCGTATGAATTTGTGGCTATTTTTAGCACCCTATATAAGTGTGTGCACTAGCTGACCCTAGGTCACTAGCCTGCTGAAGATGATGGAGGAACAAGGTGTGTACCTTCTTTTTACATCATGATCTAATTTTGAAAAATATCTAAGTGAATTTTATTACCCACCACCTCCCCTTCTTGCCTCCTTCTCAATATGATTATT